CACTGTCAAGATGGACGTGACTCTGTCAACATTCTGTCACCCCATGACACCCCATGGCAGTGCAGGCGCAGTATGACACAGCACAATGTGCTGTGTCGCAGAGGAGCTGTGACCACCAGTCAGCTGTCACAATGACAGCCGCCAGGGATTTTATGACAGCTCCCCGCTGTCCCGTGCCGTCGGATGGTGAGTTATTTAACAATAAATATTAATATTAATTATTGTGTGGCAGGCGGCATGTGTGTCCTTTTATATTAAAACTAATAGCTTTTTAGGCAGTGGCACATTGCATTACACGCATTTACCACTGCCCCAGTAAATATTTATAGTCTGCAATAATTTTTTAAATATTAAATTTACACTTATAATACTTTCACACGGACTTTTATATTGCCACGTGTAACATTAAATATAAAATTGCCGTTATTATATGGCAAACACAGCAGAGGTCATGCCGCCCGACCAACACAACAATGACAGGCACGGGACTTAGATTTTTCGCCTGCAACTGTCGCAGTCCCCCTTGGCAAGCACAGGACCACTGCACACCTGTCAACTAAACGCATGCTAATCACTTACACTAATTAACCGCTAATTATCACAAAAATAACTAATTCTCTCTCACACACAGTATATAGAAAACTTATTCGAATTTTCGCAATACTCTGTGCTAAGATATTATTATAAGCATTCTATCAACAGGGGAAGCAACGCGCGCGAGCCCTGGACAACGGAAAACCGGCGGTGCCTCCGGCGACGACGAGGACTTATGCAACGAGCGCGATTAAAAATCTCTGAGGGCCCAGACTCTGCAACTGATTTTCTCCGCCATCCAGCATCTAAAGAACATAAATTATGTTTACTTAGACCTGTTGGGCCGAGCCCTGCAGTACTGCAGCGCGGGGCCGACCCGTGGAGGGGTCGGAGCAAGCTCCGGTCACCCTCCTGGCTTCAAAAATCAGTTTAATATTCTGAACCCTCGTTGAGGGTTGTATCAGATATTAAGCTGATAAGAACAGATAAGACGCTTTTATTATTACTCAGTAAATGTTCCACCGGGGACATTGCCCCCGGTGGTGACTACAATTTAACATTTTTGCACTGAGTGCTGTACGCTAATATTTCAATTCTTGTTGCAGGGGACACCAAGCCCCCCCTGCTGGGCCAAGACGAACACATTGAGAAAAATAAATTTCTGGCGTGGGTACGCAGATATATAATATGATTGGGACGGCTAGCAGGCCGCCCCAATATATCAATACATTATACCGCTAAATGAATAAATATATAAATTGATAAACACATACAAACAATTCTTAAATACCCCGCCGCTGCGGGGTATGCGCACAGCGCGTATATCTGTTTACATACTTATACCTATTCCCGGCATTCATTCCTACGTACAGTTATACATTTAGACGCAGCCACATATGTACATTATAACACCATTACACAAACAACCGCGACACACGCAACCGGCGACACGTCCCTCCGGAACGCAGGACCCACCGCAGAATAAATAATTAAATAAATACGACAATACACACACGCTAAAATAAATAGTAAGATACAATAAAAATATGAATAAAATAGATATCTATATACAATAAAAGAATGAAATAGTTTAAAATGTGCAGCCGCGGGGATGACGGCGACCGATACAGTCGCCACCTCCCCCGCGGCAGTCAAACACCTCAAACAATAAAAAATAGAGAATAAA